CTCCTCTCTCTCTCTCTTTCTCTAAAAAGAGTAGCATCAATCCAAAATGGCAGTAGCTTCTTCTTCTTCCAATGATCGTCTTGAGCTAGTAGCAGCTGCATTAACCAGTCTAATACCAGGGAGTAAAGTCATTACTAAAGATGATCCACTGTATACAACACTGGAGGATCCAAAACCACTAACATACCAGCTATTGAGTAAAAATGTAATTGTGGAGAGCAGGCCAGAGCCTGAACCAGGGCTAGTTGAACCGTTTGAAGAAACAGAATTAGATTGGGAAGAAATTAAGAACCAGACTTCAAGGCGTTCTCGTTTAATTGCAACCCCAACAGAGAAATTTATCATGACAGTTAAGTTCCTCAATGGCCAATCCTACAAATTTCAAGTAGACCCAAGAGCTACAGTGTATGCATTAAAGTGGTCCATCTTTAAGAGTAAAGGGTTTGATGAGTACTCACAGTATGATGTTAATAACATTGTACTCACCTTTGAGGGAACTGAGCTCAATGATGACGATCAATTGCTGACAGACTATGGGATTCAATACATGTCAACCGTAACAGCTGCTGTTAAACTAAGAGGAGGAGCCGGACCAGATATCTTCGTATTAAATGAGGAATTTATGGATCCAGGCTATGATTTTGACTTCACAGACATTGATGATAGCGGCACAGAGTTCAAAAGAGGTGGTCATGTCTACAAGCGACCGTGTGGCTGGAATAGATTAGCAATCAAAGTCAATGGAAAGTTTGAGAATGATGACTGGTTGGGATGTTCAGGCCTAGATAATGAATGGCCAGTCTCATATCATGGAACAGCAAAAGAAGGAGCAGAAGGTATCACAAAAAAAGGATATGATGAGACAAAGTTAATTAGAGATCTTCATGGAGTAGGCCATTACTCTACTCCTGACGTTACCGTTGCTGCTGGATATGCCACTTCATTTTTATGTAAAGATAAACAATATGAAGCTATAATGCAGAACAGAGTTAATCTTGAAAAGTCTAAGATAGTACCAAAGGAAAAGACATATGCTGGAGCAGAGTATTACGTGACACCATCTGCTGATGACTTACGTGCATACGGAATATGTATCAGGGAAGTGAACTTTTGAATAAAAATAAAATGATAACACTTAAAACATTGATAAGCTTTAAAACATTGATAGGTTTCTTTAGGTTGTTTTGCAATTATAGCAAATAATTTTTTCCTTTATATAAAAATTATTGTAGTTGAACTATAAAAGAAAACTAGAAAGGAATCTTGGTAAAATTCTGGTCCAGATATTACTATTAATATCAGAAGTTCCCTTTGGTGAAAAGCTATCATACAGGTTGTAGCAGCCTAACATTAACAGACTAAGTAATGAAACTAAGATAGCAGCTTAAACATATTCATATCACATGCTAAAAAAATGATGCGGTTTCACTGTGTAAATTATATCCAATAGTTTAATATGGTCCACCTATATTATCCACCCCTTGTTTAAACACTTCCTGGTTACAAGACTATCGTTCTACATCACATCTATCTCTACACATCATTACAAGATATCATTCAAAATGGCAGTAGCTTCTTCTTCTTCTTCCAGTGCTCACCTACAGTTAGTAGCAGCTGCATTAACCAGTCTAATACCAGGGAGTAAAGTCATTACTAAAGATGATCCATTGTACAAGACACTAAAGGACCCAAAGCCACTAACATACCAGGTGATGAGCCAGAATGTGATCGTTGAAACCAGACCAGAGCCTGACCCTGGACTAGTTATACCAATCAATGAAGCCAGTTCCACCGCGACTCCAGAGAAAAACTTCATCACCATCAGAGTTCAGTTCCTCAATGGCCAATCCTACAAGTTTTCAGTAGATCCCAGAGCTACAGTGTATGGACTGAAGTGGTCCATCTTTAAGAGTAAGGGGTTTGATGAGTACTCACAGTATGATGTTAATAACATTGTACTCACCTTTAGAAGGAAGGAGCTCAATGATGATGACTGTCTATTGACAGACTGTGGAATAAAAATGGCTCTG